GATAAAGGAATATTTCTTAGCACCACTGGTTCTTCGCGCACTTAGAAGAGGAGTTCCTTTCAAATTGTATATCGTTGCCGAAGAGAAGATAATCGAGGACGTTTTGACTCAAGAAGATGAAAGTAAAGAATATGTAATTGCTTATCTTGGTCACTGTCTTTTTGATCCCGAGACAAGGTATGCCCATACAGAGAAATTATGCTTATCACTGTACTATGCTTGTGCTAAGATGAGAAATTATCTTTTGTCTAGTACATGTGTTGTTGCTTGCTAGGCCGATGTGATATATCGGCCAATTCTTCATGGAAGGATAGGCAAATGGGCATACACACTAATTGAATATGACTTGATTTTTGAACCATTGAAAATATTGAAAGGTGAAGTTCTTGCAGATTTTATTGTTGAGCATGGTATTGATTTAGATGATGAAGTCAATTACCTTACTTTTACTCTATGGAAACTTTACTTTGATGGATCAATTTGTAAAGATGGCCAAGGTGTTGGTATTATTATTGTTTCTCCCAATGCTGCTGAAATTGGGATGTCAAGCTGATTAGAATTCTATTGTACCAACAATCAAACCGAATATGAAGCTCTTTTATTTGGGTTGATCATGTTGCGCTCCTTGGAGTTAAAACATGTTGAATCCTATGGTGATTCCTTGTTGGTGGTACAGCAAATTGCTGGTGAATTTCAATGTTTAGAAGGATCACTAAGAACTTGTCTTGATGCTTGCCTTGATATTATTGATTATTATCCTGAATTCTAAACTTGGCATATTTCGAGGCATGAAAATCATATGGCTAACATGTTAGCTCAGCAAGCATCTGGCTATGACGTCGGTGGGCCTAATTTTCATATTCAAGAACAGCGAGTTTCATTTTTTCCTATGCAGGTACAGACTAGTCGGCTAAGCTAACTGCCCTAGTTGGCTCAGCCAACTTCTCCTCTGCTGCAGCCTAGTTGGCCAAGCCAACTACCCTAGTCGGCCAGGCTGGCTCCTCCAAGTCAGCTAAGCCGACTGCTCCAGTCGGCTCAACCGACTCCCTTGTGGCTAGCCCGGTCACTTCGCCCGAGAAGCTCCCAAATTAGCCTGACATGACTTCCAGTGATGCTGGGGCCAATTTAGATGATTGGAGGACTCCCTTGCTGAGATAATTATATGATCCAAGTGCTAGAATTGATAAAGGTGCTCGGCGGAGAGCTTTTAAGTATGTATTGCATAATGATGAGCTCTATCGGAGAACCACCGATGATTTTTTGCTTAAGTGCCTAGGATCATATCAAGCAAGAGTGGCTATGGGAGAAGTCCATGAAGGCATTTGTGGTATGCATCAATTAGCCCTGAAGATGAAGTGGTTATTGCATACAGCCGGTTTTTATTGGCCTACTATGATGGCCGATTGCTTTCGTTCCTACAAAGGTTGCGAAGAGTGCGAGAAGTTTGGCAATATTCAACTTGTGCCTGCTGCTATGCTTCATCCTATCATCAAACCATGGCCTTTTCGTTGTTGGGGGCTAGACTTCATTGGCCAAATTCATCCCCCATCTTCAAAGGGACACCGATTTGTGTTGGTTGCTATGGATTGCTTTACAGAGTGGACCGAGGCAGTTCCTTTCAAAAATATGACACATAAGGAGGTAATTGAGTTCATCACAGAGCATACTATTCATAGATTCGGCATCCCTCAAACATTAACAACAGATCAAGGGACATCATTCGTGTCCAAGAGTTGAGGGAATTTGCCAAATTATATTAGATTAAGTTGCTCAATTCATCTCCATACTATGCTCAAGCTAATGGCTAGAATAAGTCTAGTAATAAGACTTTGATCAAGCTTATCAAAAAGAAGATTGAGGAAAATCCAAGGAGGTGGCATGAAGTTTTGTCTAAAGCCCTATGGGCACATCACATTTCAAGGCATGGTGCCACAAAAGTTACTCCTTTTGAGTTGGTTTATGGTCTAGAGGCATACAGGCTTGCTAAACAAAATGATTTATCTGATGTTGTGTATCATGATTTGATGATGGATAATATCGATGAGGTGACTAATGTAAGATTAAAAGCTCTCAAGGAAATAGAGAAAGACAAGGCTCGAGTTGCCAAGGCATACAACAAGAGAGTTAAGATCAAATCCTTCCAAGTGGGAGAATTAGTTTGGAAAACCATACTTCCAATTGGACCGAAGAGCAATCAATTTGGCAAGTGGTCACTAAATTGGGAAGGTCCTTACAAAGTGATCAAAGTTATATTCGATAATTCTTATCTGCTGGAGACATTACAAGGTGAATGTCTCACAAGAGCAATCAACAGGAGGTATTTGAAGAAATATTTTCCAAGTGTTTGGCAAGAAGTCTAAGTGCTCTCCAAGCAATGGCCGATACATGTATCGCCCTTAGAACAAAAATGGCCGATGTATACATCGCCCTTATTCGCTGAGCAGCCGATGAGACGGGTGTCGTCGTAGTTCGGTTTTCATTTTTGTTTGATTAAGTGTTTTCAAGTTCATGCATCATTGACATGAAAATAAGGGGGCATATGTTGACACTCAAAAATGTCCTAAGGTGATTTTGGGCATCATGAACACGTTATAAATGCCATGGACATGTTGGAGGTCAAACGGCTCGACAAAATACTAAACAAAACGCGTGGAGAAGATGGCGAGCCTCCAGCGAGCCAAGCCAGCCGGCAAGGCCAGCTCAGCCCCAGTTGGCTAAGCCGGGATCTCGAGTCGGCTAAGTTGACTGGCCCCTGATCCAGCCCAATCAGGTTCACCGAGCCTGAGAAAGTCGGCTTAGCTGACTCCACCTGTTGGCTAAGCCGACTTCGCCTGGATTCCGAGTCAAGTTGGTTTCCACATCGATTTTTGGTATGTTTTTTGACGTGGGAAACTTGGAGAATGCGGTTTGGAGATGTTTCCTACTGGGATAAGACCACCCCCTCTATATATATGAGAGGTTCATGGCCGATTGAGTTCCCATCTATCCAATCATCAAAAAATCAATCAATCAACTCCTTTTGCCCCTCTACTCCTCTCTCAACCCCTCCTGCTGTTTGTTGAGTTTCCCGATGAGATTCAGCGGCATCCTATGCGGCCTTGCTGGTCCTAGGAGATCCTCCGCGTGCTCCTCCCCGACGGTTGTTCCCAGGAGAAGTTCATGAGCTTTTTCAGCCAAGAACGGGCTCTACATTGGCCTTATCGGTCGCTAGATCGGTTTGGTCGATTACGCTGCATTCTTGCTACGTTGCAGGTTGTGTGCAACCTCTTTGGGCGTCCAAGGCCCTTGCTCGTGTGTTGGCTTGAGGTCATCTTCAACGTCAACAATAGTCATCACCACCGAGTTAATGCATGACCTTGCGTTTATGAATTCATTGTCATCACCGGATTGCAACACTGACCGGTGGTGACCAGACGCTCATCACGATAGGATTGCACTAATGGCCTGCAGTGACCAAATGCTCATCACCGCCGGAGTGTAAACTTGACCGACGATGGCTCAATGCTTATCATCGCTGGATCTTTCCGTAAACTCACAACAATTATAGGATCACCAATGCTAGATATTGTTCCGTTATCACAGCTAGATCAAGTGCCAAACCGGTGGTGGTATCATATTATCACCATTGGTTTTGCACCAACGATGATGACCATAGCCATCACCGCCGATATTTCACCGTCGAGGGCCAAAACCGACGGTGATGGGATGGGGGGTTCTGACCCGATGACGATGACCTTTTGTAGTAGTATAGGTGAATTAATGACATTTCTTCGATCCAAAGAAATTGTAACGTATGTACCTACGTCTCTAATATGTGGTTCAGACATAGTGTCGGTACGGCAAGACGAAGTTGGCCATGCGCCCCCACCAAGGCACCCGCGCATCACCACATGATATCCCAAGCAAATATGACCGCCGCTGCATCATCCCACATCAAGCACATTGATTTCATCAATGATGCGAACTCCATCTGGATGATAAGGACCTTAGCCTGTGAAGATGATGGTAATATAAAGAGCACAAAAAAGAAATTATTGTCAACGTCACATAGAGGACAAGTGGATTTGAGCACTAGAGCTGTGAAGGTGTATTGGTAATATAAAGAGCAGAAAAAAGGAAGAAAAATATTGTTAAGGGCACGTAGACAACAAGTGGATATGAGCACTAGCAGAGCTGTTATGGATTGACTTGGTCCACCGGGCCCATCGTGCAACGGCATGATCTGAGGAAGAAATTAAATTATTGTCAGTGCAAATTTATGGTGACATGCTGAAGCTACATCTGGTCAACTCCTCTTCTTGCCCCACTAATGCACCACCATACTTGTGTGGGAGAGTCCAGTTGCAATTCTTTATGCAATATAGTACATTTGATTCGTTCTGGTCAACTAAGGTTTATCTGGACATGGGGTGAGTGGGGGATGTCTGTGAGGCTAGAACAATACAATTTATTTATTATAAACTTACATGTCTCTCCCCTCTATCTCAAAGATAATCATCGACCATCAGATCGATGAGCGAGGGACACCCAACTCAAATAGTACAATTTATTAATTAACTACATGTTGGGTACAGGTCGGCCAGCGGCATACAACTAAAATAGTAGCCCTTTGCTCCGCAATGGAATGTTTAAAAGCTCTGCCCTATTGGGCTAAACAGTCTCTCAATACCTTCCACCTCCCTGTTAGTGCTGAATCAATCCTGTCGTAAGTCTAACTAGATTCTCTCCTTTTGCTAATTTTTTCACTGCTGCAGAGTGTCACTGCTGAATACTTTTTTCTTGCCAATGAAAAGGTTTTGTATCTTTTGGGATTTTTTAGCTTGCGGTGCCGTTTATGTTGTTTGGTTGATATTATTTTTGCCTCCCCCCACATTTCAACGTAGCCCAAATTCAGTAAGATGATTTATCAATTGTGTCATATTGTTAGATCCACCGAAGTGACCGAAGAGTGAGTTATCGCCGCCAACTCCAATCCATCACTTGTGTAAGTGTATTCGCTGATGGACATTTACCAAGATAGCAAATTTCTTTCCCTAGAGAAGGTGCTAGATGATGAAAGTGCGGATGCAATCGGCCTACCTTTCTTGTTTCTGAAGGCCATCACAAATGATTTCTCTGAGTCAATCGGTGCTGGAGGGTTTGGAGAGGTTTACAAGGTATTTGCGCACTTATGTCGGCAACCTCACGTGTACTCACAACCTTACATATTACTGACAATTCTGTTGTAAACTGCAGGGAACCATTCGAAATGGAATGATTGCAGTGAAGAAGCTTTATGATCAGTCAGAGATTCTAGAGGAGAATTTCCAAAGTGAGGTTGGTTGTCACGTAGAGGTCAAGCACAAAAACATAGTACGGTTTCTAGGGTACTGTTCTGAGACCCAACATGTAATGGCATCGTACAAAGGAAAAAATGTGTGGGCAGATGTGCGCCAAAGACTGCTTTGCTTTGAATACCTAAGTAAAGGGAGCCTTGCCAAATATCTCAACGGTAATAAGTCATAAACATGTCATTTTTACATAGAAAATATTTTATTCTCTATACATTTTCCATGGTAAAGGGAATCTATGAGCTCTGTATTCTTTTACAGAGAAGATGCACTCGTCATCTCTGTTTTGCACTCTTTAGTTTCTTTGTACTGGTCCATCACCTCTGCTCCTGCCTGGGCTATAGATTCTTAGGAGACTTAATCATCAAATATTACTATTTAGTACCTATAAGTAATCAAAATTACATATATTAATTTACAGGTTTTTCTAGGTTCATTGTCTAACATATATAATTGGTATAATAGATAATATCTAGTCACTATCCAGTTTTTACAAACTTAGCAACTACAAATGTATATTTTTTCATCTATATCCACAATTTATTTCTTTTGAATGCAACTCTCTGTGTTTTGGGTATGCATATAGTTGAAACGTTAGCTTAAGCTATGGTGGCTCGTGTTGCAGTATGTATTGTCCATGAATCCAGATATGGATTTTGAAATTTTTAACTTATTAGTTGTTGTATATTTATCCTCTAGTTATACCGAAACTATTGTGCTTTTGTAACTTCTATTAATGTATTTTACTAAGAAAAGGAATTTTAGATAACAGACTGCACTCTTCAGTGCTACCATATTGCTTAATATCAGTCATAGAGCTTCAAGTAAGATCTAAGATGGGGGTAGGAGCGCTAAGGTCTATGATATTAATATTTAAGCTTTTATAATTAATGTTTACTCTAAAGGAATATCAAGGAACAGATAGCTAGTTGTAGCCATCTCTAGTCAACACTTACTACCCTCACTTCTCAAGACATTACAATTTTCTTATCAAGGAATTATATGTTGAATAATATTTATTTATTTTTGAAAATAAAGTCCTTACCATTATACTATCTATATAGATATGTGAAATGTTTTAGTTAAAAGTATATAAATTTATCTAGAATAACATTTTCATAAATTATATGTCATGGTTATTATGTAATTTTAAATGAGTCGTTAAGCAAATAATTTTCATGATTGCTGAACATCAGTTATATATTAAGAACCCTTTTACGATGGTTGGAAATGTTTCCTAACGCTTCCTGATGCCTACCCGAAATAGCTGTTTTTGTTGATTTTTATTCATCAAGGGCAATATGGTCATTGCGAATCCCCTTCCCCCCAAACCGCACGCACCTCGCTCTCTCACTCACCCTAGGCCGCCGCCACCACCCTACTCTCTCCCTCGCTCTAGCCGGTGCCGCCGCCATCGTACGGTGTCGCGCCGGTGGCCCTGCCTGCACTGCTCTCTCCCTCAACCTCGCATGGCGCCGGCCTGCCCTCCCCCTCAATCGTCGCCGACACGGAGCCCGTTGCTCCTCCCTCCTCCTCGGCACCCCCACCTGACACGCGCCCTGCCCTTGGCCCGCTGCCAGGGTGAGCTCGCTCCCCGGAGAGATCTCCTTCCCCTGCGGCCTCCCCTGGCTCCGCTTCTTCATGACGACAGTACAGCTTTTCTCTCAGCACACGCACATGTTGGAACCTGAAAACAGTAACACTCTGTAGTTGCACCTCCGTGTGACACGGCCACTGATTTATACATGTGCTATTTGATTGGGTAGCCACCATGGTTCCAAACTTGTTTCGTCTGAAATTGCCTCACTGTTTGAGTGGCATGAGGCAGGTACATGCGCTTGCGATTTTATATATGACATTCTGATATGTTTGATGATTTTTGTTAAAAATGAGCAGCAGCAATCCGGCTATTCTCTTCGATCACCAGTGCACCCACATTTCCCACCCAGAGAAGGCAAATATATATATGTGGAGTAAGCAGCAAAGTCTGATTTTGAGCATGGACTTCTAATGTTGCTACAATAATAAATGAATAATCACTGGTTGTAGCTATCTCTAGGTTATGTAATACATGAGGCTGTCACCATTGAATTGATTGCAAGATGAAATTTGGCACTGAACTTGCTATTTCGGCTAGTATGTTTTGAATAGGTTATCAACCTGAAGTAATTACAGTAGTCAGGAAAATGAGTATTTTGTCCTCGTGGCTTTGCTTTCTTAAATGAATCTACTCCTATGTTCGTCCTGTTCCTGTGCAACCAATGGAGATCAAGCTAGCAGCAACCATATATTTCTCCAGGCTCCCTATTGATTAAGCTTCACATGCCTTTCGTCTGTACACAGTGAAAATCGAAGCCGTATCTAATGGATGCCGGCGAACGGCCACATCCCACGTAGATCCCCTGCAACGGAGCGTCCTCGGCGCGTACAAGTCGACGATGGCCACAGTGTGGCGACATGGCGACGCGCTGGGGCGTGATGCTGCTGCGTGCTAGCGTTTTCAGCCCGAGCGAGGACGAGAAGCACCAACGCTACACCATCGACATTCGGCAGAACTCATGTCTGGCCTCCGGCGGCAGCACCCATTCATCGACTCAAAACATTATTTTTATAATTATGGATTTACCATTTTATCCTTGATTAAAATAAATAACTACGAAAAATAAATTATCACTCTTTTATTTGAAGTCATAATCCTCTCAACTTTGGAGGCGTTATGGTGCATATGGGCCCACTGACCATAGATACATCCAACGCCTCTCTCATTGACGCCTCTCAACGCCTTCCCTCATATGGGCCCATCAATCATTAACACAGCTAACGCTTCCTGACGCCTCCCCCACCATAGTAAAAAAGTTCATATATTAATTGTTTATGGATGCATGTGTACTTGATCTATATGATGGCATAACATGTGTGTTTACTTCAATTAACTTTTAGTATATTAATATTAATAGAAGTGGTAATGTAGAAACATATATATGCATACTTTATGGTTATTTAAATATTTTCGTAACACAAAATGTTGGCCTTTTATATGTCAATTTGAGAGGATATTTTAGTTTTTTAATAATTCTAGAAGTGGTAATTTAGATGCAAATTTAAGATCTTAAGTAGATTATCTATCACAATGGCAGGTGGGTAATGTTCGATGATGGTATAGGCAGATAATTTAATTATAGATTCATGGGTTACACTACTGGACTCGCATGCTTTGCCTCTGGCCCTCGGCAAAGGACCAGAAACCCTCGGCAAAGGGCAAAGGACCAGAAACCCTCGGCAAAAGCTTTGCCGAGGCCTGCCCTCGGCAAAGACCCCTCGGGGAATTTTTAGATGGCGAAGGGGTCTTTGACGAGGGCCCTTTATCGGGCACTCGGCAAAGCCTTTGCCGAGGGCCAGGACGGCCCTCGGCAAAGAAAAGAAACCGTCACACGCTGGCGCCGTTGGCATGTTCTTTGCCGAGGGCTGACCCTCGGCAAAGAAGTGGTTTTTTTTTGAATTTTTTTGCTGAGGGCCGGCCCTCGGCAAAGAAATAGTTTTTTTTGAATTTTTTTTAAAACCTTTGCCGAGGGCCTGCTCCCTGGCCCCCGGCAAAGAAATTTTCAGGATTTTTAAAAAAATCTTTGCCGAGGGCTATTGCTAGGGCCCTCGGCAAATGACCCTTCTTTGCCGAGGGCCTTGGTCATTGCCCTCGGCAAAGAGACAGAAATTTAATTTTTTTTTGTTTTTTGCATTCCATCGACACAAGCATTTCATATATATACATATATATATCACACAGAACCCATTTTCTCACAATATATCACAACCATAATTGTGAACCACAAATCACAATATATTACAATGACAAGTCACATGTTCATCATCATTCACATGTTTATTACGACAAGTTAATGAAATCCAAGCACAAGTCACAACCATAAATCACAAATTACGCTAAAGTCCAACCACATCACCTAGCATGAGTCCTCATCAAGCTAGCCTATGAGACGATGGTGAAGGAAAAGCAGGATCACCCGGTGACGCACTAGCGGGTTGATTGGAACCCACGGACGGAAGCTGCACAAAGGAGTAGAGATTGCATGCGTGAGTAATCCGGGAAAATAGTTTTGGAACTTAGAGATTGCATCTAATAATCTAAAAATACAAAAAAATTAGACTCAATTGAAAATTTTGGCAGCACCTCCCCTGCACAGGGAGGTTTCCAAAACCTGCAAGAAACGACGGCACGAACGTCGACATCCACAACGGCACGAACGCCGACATCCACAACGGCACGAAGGCTGACATTCATGCAAAGCACAAGCGAAAAGTGAACTTTCATACTTACAGGAGTAGCTGCAGGAGTAGGAGGTGGAGGAGCTGAAAACTGCACAGGCACACCCGATGCTTGCCCAAGACTTTGCATGATCACTATTATCTCCGCCATCTGCTTCTGCGTGGCCTCGAACGCGACCTTCTGGGCCTGCAGCTGTGCGGTCAGCTCCGCGTTCTGCTCTTGACTTTGCCTTCTTGTTTCTTACAGCTCGGCCTGCAATATTTCACTCCAATGTATCAGTAATGCAAATCTAATTTAGGTGCGTAAATATCTACGTACGACGAGTAAAGCAGGAATTACCTAGAGTGCTTGGACCTGCTGCAGTGCTGGAGAAGGCCGTGGACGTATGGGCTGGCTGGAGCTCGTGCTCCGTGCTCGGATAGTGTCGAGGGAGGGAACAGTGGTGGAGTCGATGGCGCCGTCTGCAATCCACAGCCGCCCGTGCTTCTTGCCTCCTCCGAGCCTCATGATCGCCTCTGCATCAATCGGCTCAGTGCGCATATTGTAATCTTCCCCATAGATCTCCCTTACCGTTGATGTGTACTCTTGGACTTTAGTGTACACATTCGGGTCAGAGTACGCCTAGGGCGGGGCAGCCGGGTCGAAGGAGACAGAGGACGACGCCCTGCCCATGTGGGACATAGCCCACGCAGAGAACTCCGAGACCTCCTCGCCCGGGTGCGCAACCTCCTGCGAGAAAGATGGGAAGATGGTGAGAAATCAAGCAGAATTGAGCGTCAAAATAAATGAAAGAAATCACTTACGCATGCTTGTTTGTATTCGGGGAGGCTACGACTGCCTTGATGGTGAGTTGGACCTTGCCTCATCAGACGCTGTTCCTGCTGCCTCTCGTGCGTGTCAACAAAGTCCCATGATAACCACTTGTCCACGATCATGGCCCAGCACTCGGGATACGATCGGCACCACCAGGGAATCACCTACAAGTCATCGAGTATTTGACATATAAGAAGATGAAATTGAACCTACTTAATATCAAAATGAATCATTATGAATGTTATTCACCTACCTCAAGGTACTGGTCCCGGGTCAGCGTAATCCGTCTTGCTTGAGGCTTGGGGAGGGACTACCTAAGTACCGACCTGTAGTAGTCTATGTGGGCCTAGACGTGCCCATGGTGGTGTATCTCGGTGACGTACTTTCTACAAGCTACGGCAGCAGCCCGATCTGCCTGGGCCTCAAGTCCTTCTTCGGCCTTTAAATATTTCTGCATACAAAACCGATGTATCCATTCATTATTTCAATAAAAGATTTAACCAATAAATACGATGTATTAAGCAATGTTGTGCGAGAGAGACTTACCCAAAACTCCGCCAATACTCGCTCCTGCTTGTTGCGGTAAGTGTCATCCGTGACCAGCTCGTACCTGTCCCAGTTGGAGGCCGGCTCCCGCACCACCGACTCTTTGGACAGTTGCACAATGTCGGGGTACCATTTCCTGCACAAAACACCAAGGATGCTCGCGGGGATGCGTGCTGGAGTACCCAACAAAACCAACCAGGCCCTGCACAAGTGATTAAGAAAATTTATCAGTTTCTCTTAAGATTTCCAACATATCTTATGAAGTAGTTGTGATAACATCCATAGTTACTTACCTCTTTGCCATAGGCTGAATCACTGGGCGGTTGTGAGGAAGCGGAACCGGAGGGAGGCTCGTGGGACCTCGCTCGTAGAGAGTCCGGGTAGCGGTACCCTCTCCCTCGCCCTCGAGCGCCTCGCCTCCCTCGCCTTCGAGCGCCTCGCCTTCCTCGCCCTCGAGCGCCTCGTCTCCCTTGCCCATATGCTGACCCCTCTCGTCCTCCAACGAGGACGAGGCCGTGGCCGTCACATGCTCCTCCTCCAGCACCTCGTCACGTGTCGAGGGAGGAGACCACTGCCTCCTGCGGCGGCTGCCCCTGGTCCTCCTCTCGTCACCTCCTGCGGACGCTGCCCCGGACGACGACCCCTCACCTCGAAGGAGAGGGCGGTCTCTCCCGTAAACCGAAGGCGTGTCACGGCGTGGACGTCTGCTCGCCATCTTTGTCCAGTCACCTGCAATCACAAAGAATGAACAAGACTAATTAGTACATATATTAGAAATAGATTCAAAATATATAAACAAAACACAAATTAAAAAACCATAGTATTACATGTATTAGGAATAATCTTCATGATTGGGATCATAGGTCTCATCATTACTGTCAAAATTGTCCAAATGGGCAACACTATCCGAAGGTTCTATGTTATCATTGTCGTCATTGCTAGAAGTAATCGCTCAAGCATTGCTATGTCCTTGACATTTACCACCACATCTCCATCGAGAGCCTACACATGCTCTAACATGACATCTCGCCAAGTTTCGTGATCATATGTGGAGATGTCTGGGTTTCAGGCATCCGACGTCGCAACTCGCTCGAAACCTTCTCAATTTTTACCACAGCCTACACATGCGATAACATGACATCTCGCTAAGTTTCGTGATTTTCGGACTTCGTATGGATTTTATATAATTTTAAAACACTTTTCCGGCAAGTCGGTCGTCATGTTATGCGAACAAGATGCACGAAATTTGATGCGAGTTCATGGATAGGGACTCAACATGCACCAATTAACATGAATAACATTTTTCAAAACACTACATTGCAATATTCCATGCACCTGCGGTTCAAATTTGACATATTCAAAAAAAATCAAAGAATAGAAATAAATTAAGAAAATATACAAAACAAAATCAAAATTGGCCTAAAGTTTAAAAATTGAGTTCAAAACAATGTATTGTAGGACCACAAAAAAACTGGGCTAAAAAAACCAAAAAAAAATTACCAAGGGCCTGGCCCGTGACCCTCGGCAAAGAATTTTAAAATAAAAAATAAAAAATATTTGCCAAGGGCCTATCCTGGCCCTCGGCAAAGGGCTTCTTTGCCGAGGGCCTAGCCTCGGGCCCTCGGCAAAGACGATTTATAAAAAAAAAATTTAGCCAAAAAACTGGTTTAAAAAAAAAAATCTTTGCCGAGGGCCTGGTCTAGGGCCCTCGGCAAAGACTTAAAAAAAATTTGCCGCAAAAGATGGTTTCACAGAAAAAAAAACCTTTGCCAAGGGCCTAATGGGTGGCCCTTGGCAAAGGTTGATGGGAAATGGCCGCCGTGACCCAACGGGCCTAATTTGCCGAGGGCATCTTTGCCGAGGGCCGCGGCCCTCGGCAAAGATTTGATTTGCCGTGGGCCTATCTTTGCCGAGGGCCGTACCCTCGGCAAAGGCCTCTTGGCCGAGGGCCGTTCTTTGCCGAGGGCTCCTGTGGCTGGCCCTCGGCAAAGAGTGTCTTTGCCGAGTGCCCGAGATTTGGCCCTCGGCAAAGCCTCAGGCCCTCGGCAAAGCACGCGTTTCCAGTAGTGTTACTTTATGTTGCTTTTCATAATCATCGACTTAGATAATTATTTAGAAAATATAATCAATCGAATGGTTATTATTATCAACTTTGCTTTGCTAGGATTTCTTTTCAAACAAGTGTCATTAGAATTATTTTTTCTAGCGTAATATGTTAAAACCTAAGCCTAAACTATATATGCTCTTGTTGCATCCCTTTCTGCAACATAATGAATCTTTATTTTAGCGTTGAACTTTTAATCTTATGAGTGGTGACAAATATTTTTTATGCACGTGTTACATTGAAACTCGTCTAGTCCTTGTGTTTTTATTCAAAATTGTTATTTTCTATTTTATTAGGTCCTAGTTTGCACTCTTAGTTACTACAATAGCATAAATCATTTCAACTTGCACTGCAACACTTAAGATGTAGAATTTTTTTTATGAAAACATAGAGTGCTTAAAACTAAATTGTCATTATTAATATGACATATTGTTTATCCAATATGTATTTAAAATAATAACTTACAAAATGTATTACTTACTAATAATTTAAAGTGAATTATTAGTGTTATTGATATTGATATGTGGTTTGTTAAGAAAACACTTGATCTACATGGTGGAACATGAACATTATACATGTGTGTAATTTAGAAAAATATATAACATACTTTATTTACTTTAAATATTTGTTCACAATAGCAGCAAGTGGTCGTCGGTTTGCTGCAAACTGCCACACCAACATTTTGGCCATGCTAAATTTAGCAAAAAGGAATAGTTGCTAGTATATTAAGTTTTCATGTTTTTTTTGTGACTTATATTAAGTTTTCATGTTGCGTAATCAACCTAGCTGGATGTTAGGACTAATTGTTCTATTGTGTACTTAACAGATCCATCTTCTGAATGTCAGTGGACGGTGCGCTACCAAATAATTAAGGGAATTTGTGAGGGCCTGGGTTATCTTCACCAGCACAATATTATTCACATGGATCTCAAACCTCAAAATATACTACTGGGTGATAGCATGGTGCCCAAAATTGCAGACTTTGGTCTTTCAAGGCGCTTCAGTGAAAACCAAAGCAGGACTATTACTGAAAAAATAGTTGGGACGCTGTAGGCTGCCGGAATTCTCTCTCAAGCGTCCTTTTTTTGTAGTTAGACACCAAAATCCTCTGTTGCATATCTGTGTATTCATTTATCACTCAGTACATCATTTTTTTCATGCAGGCGATATTTGGCACCAGAACTTTTAAGCCACAGAACAATAACATTCAAGACAGACATCTATAGTCTAGGTGTTGTAATCATAGAGATTTTGATGGGACGTAATGAATGCGCCAACGTTGACATGGTGATAGCATTTATATTGGGGCTGCTCGGCTGCACTTCTTCGTAGCGTTTATGCTACAGTAAACAGCGCAGCCGCAGGGCTGTGAAGAAGTGCAGCCGGCAAGCTGATTATTATTTCAAGATAATGGCTACATTTTCTTTTCATCTAAATTGCTTGGTGCTATTCATGCATCTATCTTTCCAGAACTCCCCCTATATAACTGTTAACGCACTTTGATTGTGAAACTTATAGGTGCTCGAATTTTGGGCGAACACGTCTGTGACAACAGAGATCCTTCCACTACTCGAACAAGTAAAAGTATGTGCTGAGATAGGAATAAGTTGCAAGGACAACAACCCAAGGAAGAGGCCGGCTATACAAGATATTATCCGTAGGCTTGATGAAATGGATATTCCAAACTCCTCTGTTAGAAGTGTCGCAGGTACTTCATCAGGAGGGCAGGTACTCATAGTAAACGAACGGAAGCTTCCACAAACTTCGTTTAACTGATATATTGTCTCCTCAATTTTCAGTTAGTGGATGATATGATGATGTCCATGACTATTTCATCTGCACTATCCCAACGAGAACAATCAGCATTTGGTACCTTCTACCAGCATCATGGACTGGCCAAAATAGCATTCAAGCCAATGCTAATTAGTGCATCCTTGACGCCAGAAGAGACAACCCCTAACGTGAGTTTACATCACCTACTGTTGATTTATTTGTTTGTAGAAAACACCTGCATATCTGAAAATAATCAAAATACAGTTTATAAGAAATAACATTTAATTTGTTTTATTAAGGTAAGATAGTGCCTTCTCATCTTTTTTTTGGCGAAAGATAGTACAACATAGATGCTCGTACATGTAAGACTGAACCGGCATGTCTTCTATCACTGAAAGAATGATGTTGTTAAATCCTGACATAAATCCAGAAAAATATGAGCACCCACACATCAAGTAGAGGACTTCAATGTTGATAAAAAAGTAGAGGACTTGAATCTGGGTGAGGCTTTTCCACGTCTTATCTTACTATTACTAATTAGAGGCTCTACACGTGCTAGAAAAAAAGATAAATGCTAGAAAATCTCAAATTAATCAGCTGGCTATCAAGTCAAAAGACTCTAGCCATTTATAACCATTGGATCTATTTTATTTTATAGAAAATTACCCACCTCTGCCATTATACCAAATAAAATTTTTTTAAAAGAAAAAGAAAAAAATTTGACCATACGTATGCTTCATTGTTTTTTTAAGTGGAACGTACGTTTCATAGTTGGTTAATACAAAATAGTAGATTGACCTATCCACCACGTTCACTTTTGGTTAATGTATTAATATTAATATAAAATATAAGGACCCATCACGTTTATGGATCTATTAATAAACTTACCTTTTATTATACAGAAAAAAGTACAAATGTTCATTCATAGATGGTTAATATAAAATATTAGATTAACCTTCCAATCATGTTCACTTGGTTAATGTATTAATATTATAAAATATCATATTCGTAGGACCAATCACGTTAATGGATCTATTAGTAAGATTAGTAAAATAATATCTTACTATTACTAATTAAAGGCACCAATGGAGCCTCCACGTCAATACTAACCAGACGCGGTAGAAAATAAGATAAATGCTACAAAATTTCACTTTAATCAGAAACATCCTGCCATCAAATTAAAAGACTCTAGCCATTCGTAACCATTGGATCTTTTATATTTTGTAGAAAATTACTCACTTCTGCCATTATACTAAATAAAATATTTTTTAAAGAAAAGAAAAAAATTTGGCCATACGTGATTTTCATAGTTGGTTAATACAAAATAAGTAGATTGACTTATCTATCACGTTCACTTTTGGTTATGTATTAATATTAATATAAAATATCAGGACCATCATGTTTGTGTATCTATTAGTAAACTCACTTTTTGTTATAAAGAAAAAGAGAATGTTTGGTCGTACAAAAAAACTTGATCCGCCTTACAAATGTTCGTTCAGATGGTTAATATAAAACATTGGATTAGCCTACCAATCACGTTCATTTGGTTAATGTATTAATGTTAATATAAAAAAATCATATCCGTAGGACCCATCACGTGTATGGACCTATTCTATTAATATGTATTAGAGACAATATATGAAAACCAAGAAACAACATATATGCATGTCACACCCAATTTTAAGGATAAAATTGAATGCACAAAACTCGTGTGTGCCCAGAAATCAATCACACACATAAGCTGACAAATTACATAGAGTATCATCACGGTGTCTCATACATCAGAGTTATAATAAAACTTAGTCTTATACATCACAGCGGAATACTAAAAAGATAATAAAACTCTCGTGGCCGTCATCATAGGGAAGGTCAACTGGTTGACCACAAGCCTAATAATCCTCCGGAAAATCCTCATACCCGTTGTCATCTGTTACCCATCCGGGATTTTTATCCAAGTAAAGAAAATAAACAAGTGTAAGTACATTCCGTACTTAGCAAGATAACATGGGGTTATGAAGCTCAAAAAGGATAGACTCTGGTTTACTGCAGTTAGCATTTTTAATAGGTCAAGCTTTTATTCTCAAGTATTATCAAGTTATGCTTAAGCTTCCATTTAATTCCCATAAGAACATATATCGGGGTCAAGTGTACCATATATCATCATTGAACAACTTTAAATTATCATCAACAAGTAACCAGTTATTCTGTGAGTTTTCTGGGCCGCTCGTAACCGTGAGCACGACTGTTATAACAGTTTGTTATCCTCTGCAGAGGTGGTGCACATTCACCGCGAGTCGTGATTCCCATATGCCCGGGTTAATTACTCCCATATCACTACCAAGGTGAGCGGACAGGGTACACTATGAAGCCATTTCATAGGTTTATCTAACAAGTTAGGGCCGCTAGGTTTCCTTGGCAGGCAGATGTAGGAACCCCCCTTTCCTATGGCACATATCCATCGCGGCTATACACATAGGAACAGAGGCAGTCCTATACCCAACGTGGCAAGCCCCTTTTGCGCCATAAAGGTAACCTCTAACAAGCTAGAAAAGATCCTATTACTGAGCTAAAGTCAGAGCCATATGACCCTCACGGTTGCACTGTCAGTCCCAGCTTTTGCCGACAGATAAGTCCTTATGGAGGGCCGGGAGCAACATGAACAAAGGTCATTTGCACTTTCGCCCTATGGAACAGTTGTTATAAATCATGTTACTCACTTTGTTCCATAGTATCATTCATCAACAGGTATATCAAGTTCAGTTAGAGCACTAGCAATCTACCCACATGCATTTAACCCATAGGAGACAAGGAACAGGATAAACAATCACTAGGATGTCCTTACGGGTATCAAAATTAGACACATGCAAATGAGTATTTGATTAAAGTGAGATAGGACATCAAGGAAGGCTCGTGTTATACTTGCCTTGGTTCACAAACTCGTGCTGGTCCTGCTGGTCGTCGAAGAATTCTTGGTCTCCAACGTTTTCCTCACCGTCTGAACGCGACCAACACGGCAACATACAACATTCCAAAAGCATTCATGCAAAGCAAACATTCCTATCATTAGATCAGTACACCAACAGTATTGAAAACAAGATAAAATATTTGTAAACATATTCTACGTCTCGCTACGATCACGTCAACGCGAAGTTCGCAAAAATCGGAGCTAAAATGCGAAAGTTATGACTCAAACGGGTTTTCCTATAGTCATATATTTAATTAAATCTAATCATGAAATTAAAAAGTTCCAAACTTGACTAACAGTAGTTCCAACATGTAGATTATGAAATTACGAAGCTAACGCGATTTGAACGGATCAATTCGGAGCTAAAACGACAATTTTATAAGCAAAACAGTTCAAATGGCATTTCTGTAAATACTGAAAACGTATTTTAGACTTAAGCGATGAACTTTACGCTTTCAAAACAAGAATGCGTAATAGGGGGAATGCGCTTTGGACTGCGGGTTAAGACTTAGAAAAGTCCAGGGGCTCTTATGCAAATCAGCCACGCGAAGGGGTATCGGATGATCTCGGCCGTTGGATTAGAAATGAGCGGCCAGGAATAGATTCGGGGGAGAGAGAACAAGGGGTGGCCGGCGGAATAAAGAGCTTCCATGCGGGCGGGCGCCATTGCTTGCGGGGCGTGGAGGTCGCCGGGCGCGCGTGGTACAGGGGCTAGGGGCCACGGTTTTCCCAACCGAGGGCACCAGGAGGTGGCGCGGGTTCATGCGACCTCGGCCATGCCGAGAAGACGGCCGGAGGAGAGGTCCGAGGCAGCGGTCGCCACGGCCGGCGAGCAAGAGCTTCCCGGGCGCACACGAAACGGCCATACAAGCCAACAAATGCCAAGGTAAAAGGTAGGGGAGAGAGAGGGGAGCAAGGGGATTCTTACCACGGGGAAAATAAGGTCGGAGATGGCTCGGGGACGGCGGCTCGCGCACGGTGGATCCCAGCGTTCTTCGGCGGTTGCGGCTTCCGAGGCGTGAGCGAGAGCGAAAAATGGAGCGGGGAGCAAGAGAGGGATGCGCGGGGGCTCGGCTTCGCTTAAAAAGAGGCCGGGGCGTGGGGAGGTTGCGCTCCCACGATCGCGCTGCGTGGAAGCGCCTTGATTCTGGCGTCGGTTCCGTCTGCGACTTCGGCGCTGACGGAGGTGGGGGAACGCGCTGACGGGCGGGGCCAGGTGTCAGCGGCAGAACGTGGGGAAGGGAGGCGCGGCGAGCTTGCTGCAGCAGTCACAGGCTGGTCTGAGCTGGGTCATGCGGTTGTTGGGCCAATTCTTGGGCCAGGGGAGGCTGAGCGAGGCCAAGGCAGCTGGCCTTGATTGCTCAGTCGGGCCTCGGCTAGAAATGAGGAGAAGGGGAAGGGGAGAGGGAGCTGGGCTGGCGGGAGGAGCGGGCCGAGAATCAAGGAAGGGAGGGAGAGGAAAAAAAATAATTCTTTTCCTTTTTCCAACAATTTTCCAAATCCATTTTCAATTAGATTTTGAATTCATTTGGATTTTGAATCAAAACCATTCACCACAAAAATAAATATGCAGCAGCATGTATGCATCACTTGTAGCTAATCTTATATTTGATTTTAGTTTTATAAAAAATATTACTTTCCTATGTTTGAATGCTCACATAAATTGCTTAAATAAATCAATCTGGCTATTTTTTTGGAAAATGCAAAATTAGGGTGTTACAATGCAGGACCATTAATCTTTTAATAAAATACTAGATGATCAAAACCAATAAAGAAGGTACACATGTGCCAAACTACAGGTATATAAAGTTGCTACAACCATATAGCATTTAGTTTTGAATCTTCTGGAAGACAACTCCTGTGTATATGCGAGTTGATAATGAGTTATCTATGGTGGCTTCAACAATCTCAAGATACGCTTGCCCAATCTCTTGGAAGTGCTCACAGTAATAGTATATGTGTTCCTGAGTTCATAGGGGGTGAGTTCGCCTTGTGTGTACACATATAAGCATTGGCATTCATATTGTAATGTTTTAAAAAAAAACTGATTTTCTTTTCCTTCATTTTCTCCTTTCTAACTTGTGGCCCCACACATTAGTTCAGTCTTGGTCATCAAGCATATCTTCTTCTTTTACCATTTTTACTATTGTTGCTTCCTCTTTTTTGTGCTGGAACAACCAAAAAGTTCCATGGCAAAAATAAGCAAAGCAGATTTTTTTTCGCGATCGAGTCTGAGCCAAATACCATGGATCCGAGGCCACAATACGAGTAATCGACAGTGTAGTTCATTTCCCGATTTTTCCTCTCATGGGTGGTCGCGAGAATCACGGTCTCCGCGAGGCT